TATACAGGGTCTTCCTCTTATTTTGATCAAGGCTGTTCCCAGCACTTCTGTTGAAATAGTCCCAAGCCTTTGATCTGGTTATCAACGTGACCAGTGCGGTGACAGAGGGTGGCATCAGCCACACCCGTGGGGCTGGATCCTGCCCTCTGTGGGACCTCCCTGGGCTCTGCCTGCCTCTGGGCAGTTTTCCTGCTGGGAAAGTGAATTTTAGACCCCGAGCCCTTGGCCCACTCTGGCTCAGGGACTAAATCCCCAAAGTGGGAAGAGTAAATAGGGAAGGGCAGGCACGGGGATGGAGTGGGGGGCAGGAGGGGAGGGCTTGGAGGGGTCTTGGAGGGGATTTGACCCCCAGTGGGGGCTGTGCATGGAGAGGAGGGAGCTCTTTCAGCATGCTTGTTTCATGTTTCCTCTTTATTTTCCATCCACGTCCTTGTGACTCCCTGGAAGTGCCCAAGGCCAGGTTGGACAGGGCTTGGAGCAACCTGGTCCAGTGGAAGGTGTCCCTGGCCATGGCAGGGGCATGGAACAGGATGAGTTTTAAGGTGCCTTCCAACCCAAAACAGTCTGGGATTCTGTGATTCAATGATCCTGCCATGGATCAGCAAAGGTGCATCAGCAGAGTCGGGGTCAGGCAGCAGCACCATGCTCTGGCCTGATGGTGGGGCTGGACAGGCTGTGGTGGCATCTCTTGGTGGGGCTGGAAGGCTGTGGTGGCATCTCTTGGGCTGGACAGGCTGTGGTGGCATCTCTTGGTGGGGCCGGAAGGCTGTGGTGACATCTCTCGGTTTTTTTGAGGATCCCCACGAGGAAGGCAGTTCCCTGGCCCACGGTGTGTCCCTGTGCACAGGGAAGGACTCTGACTTTGTCCCCTGGTTTAGGACTTGTGGCTGCTGACAGGCACAGCGTGGGCACTGCTTGGATGTGCTGGGGCTGCTGGATCTGCTTTGATTGAGCTCCTGGAGCCCTGTCACCTCCACAGAGCCTGACAGGGACCAACAGAACAGCCCTGGTGCAGCCCCCAGAGCCTGCACACTGCTGGTGTCCGAGCTGGGGTTCTGTGGGATCACAACAACCCAGAGCCATCTCTCCTGGAGCAGAGCACCTGCCTGGTGGGCACACAGGAGCCAGGTTAGCTGGGTGCAGTCAGGAGGAGCCCAGGGACTGTGGACTGGCACATCTGCAATGCTCCCAGAGCCCTCCAGGCCTTAAAGACCCCTCTGCCTTTTTATTTCCCACCTCTTTTTTTTTTTTTTTTTTTTTTTTTTCTACCTGCTCTTAAAAAAGCTCAAAGAAAAAAAAAATTAATTTCTCTTTATTGTGTAGCTTCACTGCGAACTGATTCTTTTAATCTAAAATTATTCCTTTTTGGTGCCACAATCTGACTTCAAGCTTCTTTGCTGCCTGTGAACATGACACACAGCAGCAGGCAGAGAGGAGGGGACAGGCTGTGTCTGGCCTTTGCTGGGCACCAGGAGGGCTGAGCACGGCTGGAGGACACTGCTTTAAATAGCTTTTTGCAGTCCTTTTCTCCCCCATTTGACTGAGTTTTTATCTCAGATGCAGCGAAGGGCTAACAAATAAAATATAAATAGTTAATTTTCCCTCTGTTCAACCTGGGAATTGAGATTCAAGTTTAGACAGGAAAATCAGAAGGAAATTCAAAGATACTCTATGTTCTTGATGACTGCAGCTGCTACCTGAACACAGAGATTCCCTGTAGATCTGCGAACAAGGACTTCCAGAAGCTGCTAAAGATGAAGAAAACTCTGGAAGACCTTCCTGTACCTGCCACCGCCTGCCTAGTTCAGGGGTTTGCTTTCAAATCCCAGGCACTCCGCCACTCTTCCCTGTTGGCAGCAGAGGAAACAGAGGCCCTGGCTGGGCACGCAGAACTGAGCGGTGCCAGCAGCTCCCTGGGCACCTCCAGGCAGAGCCACGGCCCCAGGGGCTCATCCTTCCTCCCTTTTGTCCCCTCCTGTCCCTTTCTGGTGGCTGCACAAAGGGGATGGGGAGTGTCAAGGTTTGACACTGGCACAACGCCCCTGTGAAAATGTCCACCTTCAGTTGTTCACCCCAAGTGTCAGTATCTAAACTTAACCCCTGACTAGGTTAACCTCTTCCTCCTAAGGAAATTCTTTTTCCGTGTCAAACCACGACAGGGAGTCAGGCAGGTGTTTGGGTGGGCTGCTCCTCTGCATGTGCAGTCCCCATAATTTGGTGAAATGAAGGCTCTGTCTGAGTTTCTGGGTTGCTCTCCAGGGTGGTGTTATTGCACAACGGGATTTGGAGAGAACCACACAGTTAAATGATATTTTTATGAAATAGGATGAATGAGACTTAATGAGATTTTCTTCCAAAGGGAATGAGTCCGAGGTTTTCAGCCTCCATTATAATGGCTTAATTTTCTGTGCTGGAGCAGTAAATGGGACTCGGAGAGGTTTTTATCCGGGATTGTTTCAAAGAAAGTTGTAAGGAGAAAGAGGTGGTCAAGTTACCTTCTCATGGTTGGAGGTCCTGGGGTGGAGGTGACACCAGTGTCACTGTGCCAAGGGGCCCAGAGGGACACAGGCTGCTCATTCTCCCAAAAAATAACCATGTTGTATGGCTCAGTAGCATCTGGCATCATAGCATGTCGATATTTGGCCTTATGAGCAGCAAAAATACTAATAATCCTAATAATTCATAACTGCTTGTTGTGTCTTGAAAGGGCTTTTACTGTTCAGCTCGTGGGCTTGGCAGGACACTTGCTTTCCATGTGCAGTGGTGGCCATTCCCAGGCCTGGAAAATGTGTAACTGGGCAGCAACAACAAATTCACCCTTGGATTCTTTCATTATCAGCCCAGGTTGCCCAGCCCAGGCATGGTCAGTTCATGGCACTGTGTGAGGCTCCCAGATGGATTCAGCCCTTGGGTGGGTGACAAAATTGTGGCTTCAAAGGACATCATGTCCAGGACCAGCACGACACGCAGCCTCTTGGGCTGTTTGCTTTTTGTTCTGGTGCAGAGGCCGGGAGCAGGGGAGTGGGAGCTCTGTGCCGTGGGTGAATGCAGGATCCGGGTTTGGGGCGCAGACCAGCAGCAGAGGGACAGTCTGTGGTTATGATCTGGTTTCTGAATTAGGGTCAGGCTGTCCCTGGGACCAGCACTGCAGCATCCCCGGGGTGCCCACTGCTGCTGTGCCACGTTCCCCATCATTGCCTTGGGATTTGCTTTTGCAGGGCAGGAGGAGAGGGGCGAGGCCCGGCCGTGCTGCTGGGAGCAGCGTCCATCTCTGGGGTCTGTGCTGGCTGGAATGGGCAGCTCTGCGCCGTGCCCTGGGCGTGGGACAGGGCAGTGTGTGACCCCACGGCCTGGGGACAAGGGCTGGGCCAGCGAGGGGCTTCACTGTGCCTTTGATGTCCCACGAGGTGCCCTAATGGTGTTCAGGCACAGCCAGCGGGGAAGGTGACATTTCTTTGGCCAAAGGCTTTGCCACCTGCCTTGCCCAGAGTGACAGGACAAGGAGCAGTGGCTGCACACTGACTAAGGGCAGAGTTACATTGATTATTAGGAAGAGATGTTTCCCCGTGAGGGTGGGCACAGGTGCCAGAGCAGCCCCTGGATCCCTGGCAGTGCCCAAGGCCGGGCTGGAAGGGCTGGGAACAGCCTGGGACAGTGGAAGGTGTCCCTGTCCATGGCAGGGGGTGGAATGGGATGGGCTTTAAGGTCCCCTCCAACCCAAACTAGTCTGTGATTCTATAATAATGATAAAAATCAAGCCAAGCTGGACTCCATCAGCTCTGCCAGCCAGACCAAGGTGGGCTCTGGACAGGGGACAGCTCCTGATGGGGAAAGTGTGGAGCCCCCGGGTCCAGCCTCAAAGCAGGCTGAGGAGGAGGAGGCCAGGAGGCTCCTTGGATCTGGAGGGCAGGTTTGGGGGCCAACCCCTAATTAAAACCTTTTGTATGAAGTTCCAAACCCTCCATTCCGTGCCTGGTTAATATTTAACAGCTGGGGCCGGAGATGGGAACGCAACTGCGGGCCGGGCTTTGGCTGCTGTGCCAGTTCTATTGCAATCAGGGATTGTTTAATTAGCCTGCAGAGCGAAAACAGGCCCGCGGATTATATATATATATATATATATATATATATATAAAATAATAATAGCACTGGGACCCGCCCCATTTTCTCTCTGACATGAAAACTTTTAGCAAAGTTTTGAATGGCGGGGAGTCGCCCCGGCCCTGCAGCGCTGCGGTGGGCTGGGAAGGGCGCGGGGGATGCGCGGGGGATGCGCGGGGGATGCGCGGGGCGGCGCAGGAAAAGGGGCGCTGCGCCTTTAAGGCGGCGGAGCGGCGGCTGCGATCGCTTCCCTTTGATAAGGTCCTGGCAACTCTGTAGCCGCCGCGGGATGCCGCGGGAAGGGCGCAAAAAATAAATCTTGCCCCCAAAAAATATAATAATTTGATTTTTCTTACCAGCGCTCATCTACGCACCCTTCCTCCCGCCCCCGCCCGCGCTGAAGCCGGCCCCGCGCACGCCTCGCACCGGGGATGCCCCGGGGGTGGGAGCACCGGGACGGGCAAGAGGTGTTCCTCTGGTCTCCTCCCTTTTTTTGCTTTTAATTTTTAAAATTCTTTGGGGTCTTTTTCTCTTTTTTTCTCTATTTTATTTTTTTTTTAGTGCGCTACCGCCCTTGCAGGACCGCTCCGCCGGGCTGCGCTTTGATGCTGCGGGGGGAGCCCGGGGCGGGGGGCGGAGGGAGGGGGGGGGCGGGACCTGCGCTTTTGTATTTAAAATAAATAAAATAAATAACCAGGGGAGGGAGGGAGAGGAGGGAGGCGCGGATCGCAGTGGGCTCCTTCCCTCGCAGCCCCCCCCTCCCTTTACCCCCCCTCTTTCCCGATGCTCTCCGATGCGGTTGCACCGCCGGGGAGGAGAGGAGGAGGAGGAGGAAGGCGAGGAGGAGGAAGGCCGGCGGGGGGAGCGGGTGCAGCCTGCGCGCTGCCGGCGGCGGGGAGCGGCGGGGCCGCGGGCGCGCAGCGAGCTCCGGCTCGGCGGTGAGTGGCAACTTCGGGGGCGGCGGCCGCCGCTTCTTCTGCTTGGCATACGGCTTTTACTCCTAATTTCGGTTATTTCCTTGAATTTGTTTTCAATTTATTTTTTTTTCCCGCGGGGTGCCCGCGCTGCCGCCCTCCGCGGGCGCGGAGCCGCCGCGCTGCCCGTGCCCGTCGCGGCTCGGCTTGTTGCTCGCGGCTCGGAGGGCTCCAAGTCGCTCCGGACTTTTTTCCCCCCTTTCCTCCCCCTCCGACCTCCCTCCTCCCAGCCCGTCGCCATTTCTGGAGCAGGTTTTTATTATTATCATTACTATTTTGCACGCCGGGAAGCCGCGGGGCTGGGGGTTGCCCCCCTCCGACCCCCCGTTCCCATTTATCGCCCCTTTTCCATAGCCGGGCTTGCTGCCCTCGGCTCCAGGGGGATGCGGGGGGCCCGGGATGCCCCGCAGCGCCCAGGTACGGCCGCCTCGCCTGAGCCCACCCTCGGGGGTGTTTTTGGGGAAGGGGCTCGCTGCTCTCCCGGAGAGAAGCGCCCCAGGATCGCTGCTGGCGCAGGGGGGACACTCGGGACGCAGGCGGAGCGGGCTGGGTGAGGGGCAAATGGAAACCAGATGGCGGGGCAGGGACGCCCCGAGCACCCGCGGCTGCGGGGGGCCGCGCTGACACCCCCGCGCCGGGCCGGCCCCGCGGAAAGTGCGCCGGGAGTTCAGCGGAGCGGAGCTGATAGTCGCGATCGGGCTGGCGATAGAGCCGCGCTCCCTCTGCCCTGCCTCCCTCCCTCTCCCTCTCTCTCTCTCCTTTTCTTTCTTCCTTTTTTTTTTTTTTTTTTTTTTTTTTTTT